TGTTTTGTCTCTTAATAAAGAAAGCTTTGTGTGAATTGAGTTTTTCAAGTACAATGTATTTTCAGAAAGTGTAAATGCTGAGCAGGTTTTTAAACAGTCTGAATCTGCCTATACAGAAACTGCTCATGAATCTGAAAAGTGATCTACTTTTTACTTTGCCCACAAACTCTAATATGGTATTGGATAATATATAATATATATAATATAATATGGCTCTATATGGTAATATATTTCATGCTGTGGTCCACTTGGAACACATATATAGTGCTCACAGTATTCTATGTCACCCCAGGGAAAGGCCTAATGCAGGATCCCATGTCACAAGTGAGAGGCAAAAGAACATTTGATATGACAAGGAACACAGAGGGGTTGAATTAGAAAAAGTCAGCGAAGAAAACAAAAGATTTGAAATTGAAAATTGAAAGGAAAGAATCAAATTTTGTGCCTGAAATATAGAAGCTGTGCAAACACAGCAAAGGGAAATCTTATTAGAAAGACAGATTGAGCGTAAAATGATGGGATTACAAGAGATAGGATGGCGAGACAGTTCATATGCAAGTACGCGTACGAGAGTGCTTCTCAGCATCTCATAAATCCTTCATGAAATATGAGCAATAAATCAGTGTGAAAGCGATGGAATGACATCAAGGCACAGCCCTCGAAATATCATAGCATGAAGGTAACAGGCAAAGACACATTCATACACATTCAAACTAATCCCCCAGACCTCCTTGTCTGTCTTCATCTCATCTGTGTCTCCTCTGTATTTCACTTATAGTGCATTGCCACCTCTTCACCCGTCCACTGGTCTCTATGTTTATGTCAAGCTCAGGGCACTGCACTGAGTTCCACTGGGGCCAGACAAATATTAACCTATCCACCTCTCTCTCACACAGTCCTGCACACACACAGACACAGGCACATACACACATTTATATTTTATATTACACTGAAAAATATTCACTCAGAAATTACTACAAAATTTCTCAAAAAATTACAAAGAAATGACAAATAACACATTGAATTAAACATGAATTTTGAAGAGTTATGTGTTTTTGCTTGGGTCAAATTTTGACATTTCTCAAACCACATGCCTACTTTGTCGTTAAATAGAGAGATCCAGCTTTAATAATCTCAGTCTATTGGGTTTTGATAGGTCAGATGAACTTTTGAAGGGAAAATAAGAGGTCATTTTTCTAAATATCGTTATTTTTGCATGAATCAATCTCAAAAGAACATGTTGGTTAAGCTGGTATCTGACCTGGTTTTTCCAGCAGGAGTGAAAGTAAGAGTGACTTGAATTGAAAAGGATAAGAGGGAGGGAAGACAGGTGCCAGGAAAGTGTATCAACACTGAAATACAGAATATTTCTGATTGTCTCCAGCCCTCCTTTGACCATTACAGACCCATGATGTGTGAGTGTGTGTATTTTCTGTTTCATTTTGCTGTGGGTCTGCCTCCTGTGCGCTCCTGTTGTGAAGGCTTATTGGATAATAAATCATCAGAGACTGATTGTAACAAAAATGATACAAGCCATTCGCTTTGTCCTCTGTCTGATGTCATTGAATTCAGACCAGGGCTCACCACCATAATTGAGGAATATTTTGATCGATCGATCTATCTATCGATCTATCGATCAATCTATCGACCTATCACAACTTTTGTTTCTGGGACTGAGGAACTATCAAAGTTGGATTTATGTTAGGTTCCAGACACCAAGAATAAACTAACTTACAATATGTTCATAACTGATCTAAAATAAAAACATCAATAAAGCATTTCTGATCTTAGTGTAGATGATGACTTACTATAGACCAGGGAATGAAGCATTAGACATAAGAAAGCTTTTATGAAGCTTTTTTAACAATAATAAAAAAAATTAAATAATAAAAACAAGAGCTGTAGCCTTAATGTTGGAAAATCAAAATGGTTATATTTAATGTAATACCAGCCTTATTATGATCATCCAATGACTACTGCTGTTACCTGTGGCTTGAATGACACAAATGCTATGCACAGTTGAAACTGCATAACACATTATTGCACGCTTTCTCAATATGAAACCAACCATAATCCACAGCTAACGTACCAGCATCACCTTTAGGTTAAATTGGCCCACAGAAACATATCATCTCACAAGGACATCATATAAACCCTTTGCTAGCTGTAAACTTTACCTGAACACTTTAATTTCCCTTTCACCTACTTTTTTCGAAGTCAAACGGCCAAATCGATTGTATATGTTCCCAACATGCTTAAATGCTTAATATATTTATATATGAAGAGTTCAGATGCAAAAGCCTCTAAGTGCCATTTGAAATTCTCTTCTAGAATAATCATTTTTATCAAGCTTGTATATGTAAATTCAGTAATTTCACTTAAATGGCAATTCATAGGTAATATTCATCTTACATATACAAGCTTGATAAAAATTAACATTCTTGAAGAAAATTTCAAATGGCATTTAGAGGCTTTTGCATCTGAACTCTTCATACATATATATATATATATATGTATATATATATATATATATATATATATATATATATAATATATATATATATATATATATATATATATATATATATATATAGGCTATATACATGAAGGGGTGATGATGGCACAGTGGATAAGACACAAGCCTTTGGTGTGAGAGACCCGGGTTCGAATCCACTGTGAGACACCAATGTGTCCCTGAGCAAGACACTTAACCACTAGTTGCTCCAGAGGCATGCGACCTCTGACATATGTAAGTCGCTTTGGATAAAAGCGTCAGCTAAATGAATAAATGTAAATGTACATATTAAGTCTCAACTTGACATCGAGTCATGGTCCTATCGAGAATAGCGTGGAATTTTCTCATTCAAAACACTGCCTGCTGCTCCTCCTGATTGCTTTTAGAGGGAAAACCTGCTCATAACTGCTGGTCTAGGATCAGTTTTCTCAGTAATGATAGCATATGGATGAAACAGATTTGACAAATCCCCCGTATATCAGTGTTTACGCTCTGGAGAGTATCAAATGTTTCTATTTACAATATGTTTTTGCAGCATTGAGCAACGAAGCCAATCACAGACATATCAGTTGATTTTTTTAAAGCAATGGTAAATCAGATTTCACTCACCGATCAATCCGCCTAAGTTTTTGCTAACATAGTGTAGCCGTTATGTAAGTAAGAGATTCTAGTAAGAGATAACGGAACTTGAAGATGAATGACAGCTTTTTTAGTGATTATAAAGAGACCCCCCCCAAAATACACTATCTGACATACCTGAAAAATCCTAACTAGCACAATATAATAACCTTACTGCCCCTAAAATCATTTTCACAGTGAAGGTTCACTCCAGGTGTGCAATCTAGGTCTGTTAGTACAACTTCACTTCTACTTCTAAATTCAATCAAATCTTCAAAATCTACTTTATATTCTAAATATATTTCAATTGACAGAACAACATTTAAAGCAGCACAGAGACAGAGTATTTGGAAAATCTATGAATAGCTTACTTATAGAGGGAATGCATTGACGTCACTTTCCCGCCTGAACAACCCCCCTCAGCCTGACTGAGTGGCAAAAGATCTGCTGCGTGACTGGATTTAATAGGGGAAACTGCGAAAATGCGACTAAAATGAACAATTTTATCAATTTAAACTAAATGTTGGACTTAATATTGTTCCTTACTACTTACTAAAGATCCAGTGATCCATGGATATTGAAATGCAGCCAGGAATCGTGTTGCCTGACATTTATGTTTGCCTGATTTCAACACCGGGGAAATCAAAGCAATATAGACCTAAACATAGGCTAAAACATAGGCTAAAGCAAATTTGCCTGTGAACGCTTTATATAAATACAGCATATAGGTAGGTCTAAATCCGGGTGATCACTTATATAAGTGTTATATATATCCTATATATCGTCCCCTTGGAATTATAAGGTTCTATCTGCGTTCTGAGAAGTTTTGAGATATTGAGCTTCAAAGTTTTTGCATTCCATATAGGAAAATGTGTATGGGGAACATGTTTCTTTCAAACATAAAAATAACAGGGACCCTAAATGTACAAAACACATCACATAATGTAAATAAATTGCCACAGAATAAGAAAATGTGAATAACTCCATTTTGACAAAAATGTCAGAACCTTATAATTCCAAGGGGACGATATATCATCATATCGTCCAACCCTAAAACTTTATAGTTTTTTTTTGGTCAGTGTTTATTAAAAACATCCAATAATGCAGAATATGCAATGATAAATATTTAATTGATGAGTTGTTAATATACAGTATATAACAATACAAAATGAGTATGGTTTTACACCTAAAATCAGCATATTGACACAAAATGACGACTGCAAATCCACCTTTCGCTGACTGGAGTCCAGTTGTTTCTGTGAATTGCAGCGATCCATTTGCTCCTCTTTCTATAGCAGTCTGTAGAAATATACCTCCAATTTTTTGTCAAATCTAGTTGTACAGTCAATCGCAAAGCTCTTTCCCACTTTATATGTGTTGTGTTTGTTTTTCGCGGCATTCACGCTGAAAACATATACAACCACTCAGTCTTTTTGCCACTTACTGTGAGTAACTACAGGCACTCTGGCCGACAGGTACCTCACGTGCATTCCCTCTATTGTCTCTGCATACTAAACTGAGAGATTAATAGGCCTGTTGTAAAACACACGCAGCAGTTTTTAATGTATTGGCTTGCAAGTAATGGAGTTTCATGCAACACAATAATGTGTTTAGGATCACAATATTGTGTTGTTTTCTGAATCTAGACAGTCATCAAAACAAAATGAAAATAGAGAAGACATGAAAGTTTAGACAGAAAATAAAATTATACTTCCTAAATCAGTAAATAACTACTATGTGCCTAAGATAATTTTCACTGTGAAGGGTCACTAAAATCTCCTGATAGAAAGAGCTAAATTAAGGCACAAACACTCAGACACACACATTCTCACACACACAAACACATTAGCAGAGAGAAACCTCTTACATTGTCTCGTCGTTCTGAAACTCCAGTTTTCCAGACACTGCCTCATAGTCCTCCCCTCCACAAGCTGTCGCATCCACTGTATGGTACGGTACTGCCACCAGACCACGTGCTCCTGATGTCCTCTGGACCTTCACCTGCATGATGCCGATGCTTTCGCTAACTCGTGTCGATTCGCTCTCAAATGAAAAAATTCCTGCGTGGTCGTCATCGTAGATGGTCACGGTCGCGGTGTGGGCCTCACCAAGGGCTGCGCTTGGGGCAGGTGCTCCAGTCTCCAAAGCAATAGGATGTCCATCAGCCCAGCCAACTATACGGGGATTGCTCAGGCGGACATAGAAGTATTCGTCTTCCTCAAAGATGTCATCATCAATAATGCCGACGGTGATCTCTTTAAGGTTCTCGTTAGGTTTGAAGACGATTGTGCCCTCAGCAAATTCATAATCAGAACCGGCATTAGCTGTGCCATCTTCTGTGCGATAATCCACCTGGAGTTTCGCATGAATAAACATTTGAAAGGATCAAAGATCTTCCTTGTTCTCATTAAATCAACAAACGAAAAAATCTATTCCATAACTTGCATCATTTAATAGTCAAGATCAGAGAATACGTTTTCAAGTATCCTATTCCCTAGGAAAAACGAATAAACTAAAGAGTATATTACTTTAAACTCACCTTAACAGTACACCCAGCATCTCCTCCATGCCTTAGCACAGAAAGTTTTAAGGAACCACAGTTTTCAAAGCACTGGTAGAGGGCAGGTTCAAAGTCTATTCTTGTGACATGAGGGTCATCCTCCTGCTCTCGGGGTTCCCCACCGCTGACCACTTTACGGGCCTGATCTGCTGCGTGTTTCTTCAAAATGTTCCCCGCACCAATCATCATCCTTGTCGCCTGAATGCGGTAGAAAGCTCTGCTCTTCTGCTGCTGTACCAGAACCTGCGAAGGTAGGTTTGGGAAAGTTTTTTTTATCCTGCAGTTAAGTTTCAGACTGCTTTCTCAAGCTGTAAAACAACTATTTTAAATTTGCAGCATGTAAAGTCCGCACCACAATCAGCACTAAATGGGATTTTTAAAAATAATCACTGTTTTCAAAAAGGTTTACCAAACAATTCCCTAGTCTTGCACTATTTAGACAAACAGCTGGTGTCACCACCAATCTCACACCATTGATAAGCGATTGGGAGCAAATGAGCAGCCTAAAGAACCAATAAGCAATTCATTTGACTATCCGACTAATGTGCATACACGCTACAACCACATTATCCAGATCCGGTGCGATTCAAGTTGAAATAAAGCATTTACATTACATTTTTTTAAAATGTATTTAAAATCTAGGCTATTGTTATAGTTCAGTTGACAGCTAATAGACCCCTTTTCAGTTGGGAAATATGCTGAAGTTTTTTTGTGGGCGGAGCTTAGGTGGAGGCAGAACGATCCCTCTGGCCGCTTCCCTGACGCTATTAGCAAGTATTGTTAGCTTGTTTTTTAACAATGATGGAGAAAATCTGATTTTATCTTAATGTGTAAGGTCACTCAGTGTCCAGGACAACGATTGTTATTTCCAAAAGTTATTTTTTAACGGACGGAACCAGATTGGCCGACCCGTAGCCGCCTACACGCTCACTCACTGCATGGACTATCTGACAGGATTAACGTTACGTTATCTCGGTTGAGTGGCCTGACTTCTACACCTACCTTATAGAGAAACCGATCGTAAAGAGAAACTGAGGGCATATAAATCTTTAGATGCCTATAACTATTTGGTCCTGTACAAGACTTGTGTGTACGATCCGCAGTTCTGCCGAGCCAACGCAGAGGCGACGACAATGTAAAGAGTGACATTACGGTGCGATTTTAATGATGTGAATATTTTCTAGAAAAAGAAATTCCAGATACAGCATTTTCATCGCACCAAACAACATAACAAGATGACATTTAAAAATAGTAACAATAATTTAAGCTCCTTATTGTGTAGCCGAATCTGTGCTGGTTTGTATTGGCCGCCTCCAGTTTTCACTTTGTTTTGCTTCCAGCAAAAGGGCAAGGGGTCTATAGTCAAATAGTCAAAATAAACAGAACAATGTTTAAAATAGCACAAGACAGTGTTTATAGTTTTGGGGAAATCTATGAATGGTTTAGTTACAATTGTCTACTAAACTAGGAGAGTACTTTAATATTATAAAAATATAAAATAAACACAGCAGTTTAAAATGAACAGGCCTGCAAAAAAAATAGAACGTCATAAATTAGATTTAGAGTTGAATAGAGATTAATGCAAATTTTCACAAGTCCTGGGCAAATTCTGTAATATTAGTTTAGGATAAAAATGTCATGTTGTTTTGTAACAACTCAAAGGACGTCTGCAGATCGAATTCAAAAGAAAATGAGAACAAAGAGAAGAAAGTTTTGGTTATTTTTTTCTTTTAAAGCTGCACTGTGTGATTTTTATTCACACAGTGCAGCTTATCACTGTGTGATTTATATTTTAAATGATTAAATAATTAAAATGTGTTAATATCTTTCTTCTTTTTAACCTGATAGTTGGCCATCTCTATGAGCTGCTCCATGTCCTTGTCAGGATGTCTTTGCTTCAGTTCCTTTAAAGTTCTGGCCATATCTCTTCTGGCCTCGTCCTCTTGATCCCGTCCTCCATGCCCACTTTCCCCTCCCAGGACTCCATCCAGATGTGTTGTGATTCCATCAATTTCAAGCATGTCCATCTTTGTGAATCCTGCCTCCTTGCCAATCTCCTCCCCTCCCTCGGACACAATAATTCCATGGCCCTTGTCGGTTCGGTAGCGTTTGCGAGCATACTTGTAAAAGAGCAGTCTCCGATCAGCGATCCAGGCCTGGACCACGCAGAGAGGAAAGAAGAGGAACGTCAACACTGCTTCCCACACTTCCACCTCACCAGGCGAGAACACCGAGATGATAAGATAGAGCCAGACGTAGGCGAACATGCTCCACGCCGCAGTCACGAAAAACACACGAAGATGTTTGACCTTCCGCCTTTCACCATCAGGTACCACATAGATGCAGATCCCGATGATCACAAACATGTTGAAGGCAGCGCTGCCCACGATGGTGCTGGGACCAAGAGAACCGGCCTCAAAATTATGCCCACAGACCTCAATGACCGAAAGCAAAATCTCAGGAGCTGATGAACCCAGAGCCATGAGAGTCAGATTGGAGACGGTCTCGTTCCATATGCGAACAGTAGTGGTGACCGTTTCACCATTGGATTTCTTTGTAGTGATCTCTTTTTCTTGAGAAGTTATAACTTCGATGGCAGTCATGAAGCGGTCAGCAATTATCGACATTCCCAAGAACATGTAGACTAGTGCCACTAGGTACACAATGGCACGAGCCACTTTGTCACCAACTGAGGGATTTAGAGGATTCCACACTGGCAAGAGGACCCCGTCTGCACACACGTCATTCTGGGAACAGTTGGAGGTAGATTGGACTGTATCTTGGGAGTCAGCTTGAGAAGGGATAGAGAAAGACAGGAGAAAGACAGGGAGGATCAAGGGAATGAAGGAGATTGGGAAAATGCGGGTTGAACTGAGGGACAAAGGCATGGTGAGGTGGGGCCGATCTGTTTCTGCAACAATTCTTCACGCCACCTAAGGAGAAACAGAGAGACATTGGGTGAGTGAGTTTTAAACTCTGACTTGTATTTTGTTCAAGAAAATAAGAAGCTAATGTAACCCCTCACACTCGGGTCCAACTCGACCCGCTCCGAGCGGGCCTCGAACCTGGGTCTCCGGCATGAGAGTCAGGCGCGCTAACAAGGAGGCTAAAGACTGCAGCCTCTAGCGTCTGTCGCTAGAGCGTCTATCGAGATCGAGGAGTGAGGTTTACTCGCACAGCAACTACTAGCTGGCCTCCGTTACACTAATAGAGATGGAAATTCAAATATGCTACACTTTACAGCACAGAAACCTGCTTAGAACTAAAGTACCAAGTCGTACTCAACCAACTCAAAAATAAACCAACTCAAAAATTGGTTTATTCAAACCTTCATTTTTTTTGTTTAGTGAACTCAATATTCAAGAGAAAATTATGAATCATTTTGTTACATAAAATAATTATTTTTTTTTCATTCAAAAGTAGCAAAAAATTATTTAAGTATTGAGGTTGTGGCCATTTCTATAAGGTGTGAAAATCCTTCTTTCTCTTGTCACTGTCTCTGTACGGTTGTACAGCTCTCTCTGTAGTGCTGTCTCACCGCATTAATTCTGCTTCATCTCAACGTGCCTACACTTTCGTACTATACATCCCTCTCTTTACTTCCTTCATACACATTTGATCTGCTTCTTCATTCAATCCCTCCCGATTGCAGAGTTGACATATTTGCCCCTAGCTTCTCAATTTTTTCATCATCTCATCTCATTATTTCTTTAACTTTCTTGACCCCCTCTCCTAAATCCACCACTTCATTGGGAATAACATTATAAATATGAGAATACAGTAACAACACACCCAAAATTCACTGTACTGTTCACAACTCTCAATATTAAGATTGGTGGCCATTTTTTTATTGACCAGTTCTTAAACTTTTACCGTAGGAGAGGAGACATTATTTCATAAGCTGCCATTCAATACACATGGGGATTATCAAAACAATAATGAACATGAGAGTCCAGAAAATTTTAGACACTAGCAAAATCAATACAACTATTCGAGACCTTACACAAATAAACTGCACATACACACAGAAAAATGTGCTGTGATGTCATCAGTAAATAATGACTGCGTTAATAACCTAATGGACGGCTTATAAGTGTGTGTGCAGAGGGAGCTGTCTGAACATGTTTATAGGCTTGTATACTAAAGTCAGTAAGTCCCTCTCAGATCTGTAATGTATGTGCGTTTGCACACGCACGTGTGTGTGTGTGTGTGTGTGTGTGTGAGAGAGAGAGAGAGAGAGAGAGAGAGACAGCTTGAATGGAGAGTGCTGCTGTTCTTGAGCTTTCTAATGCTGAGAGCACAGTGCTGACTCAGGACGCACACACACACACACACACACTGACACATAAGATAAATTAAACAGGTCTTGCAGACTGTGTACGTGTACTTGAATGGAAAAAAAAAATAGAGCCTTAAAGAAGATTAGTTGGTTGGGTCACCAGTGAGGGGGCGTTTTTTCTTGAACCACAGGCGCTTTTGGCCCTGTGGAATTTCAGAAAATAGTCTCTCTTAAAATACACTTTTCTCACTCATTAGATGTTCAATAGTGTCCAACAAACTACATACATCACAAGAATATTTTGTTTACTCTGAACCAACATCAATATGTCCTGTCCACCACAATATAATTTCTACCACATTATGTATTATTATGTATAAAAATGATATATTATGTTCAATAACATTTCTTTTACATTTTACAGTACATTATAACAAACAAAAAGTAGTTTGCATGTAAAGGACTTACAAGTGGCCTGATGCTCACAGTAATTTATATGTTCAACTTAGTTAATTTAAATGACAATGATTTTTGTGCCTTAGAGATTAAAGTGCAGAGTATCCTGCATTTTTGTGACCAAATGGATGGTGCATGTACAACAGCGCATATGTGACTTGAAAACTACTAGATAAAATAATAAATCATGAAAATCTAACAAATGTGTCTGTCTGTGTGTCTGTGTATATTTATTTACTATATTTACTACCAGATTTGTCCCCTAATATAAGATTCTATTAAACATAAATGCTAAATTCTTACCTCTAACCTTAACCTAGCATTGTTAGCCTGATAAACAGCCATGTCCAGCAATTATTTATTCTGAAATCTGGTGACTACGTGATTGAGTTGAGCAGTAAACTCCTCTACACTCTAAAACTCTAAAACCTCTAAATATTGGGTAAAATATGGACAAACCCAGCCTTTGGGTTTACATTTTAAATTACATTTTTAACCACACATTTGGGTTTGTCCATATTTTACCCAAAATTGGGTTAAACCAACCCAGCATTTTTTTAGAGTGTATGGGTGGGGTTTGAATAATAAAAAAAAAACATGGACTAATAATTTGCTGTGTATAAAAATAAATCAACAATATGTTGATATATAAAACATATCAAAAATATGTCAACATTATTATTAATATTCATTCTATACAGTATGTGTGTCTGTGGTGACAAAATTCACTCATGGTTCGCTGCACTGGGATAAAATATCTGTTTTACTAACACATTGCAGAATATGTTGGGGGCACCACAGTGAGATTTAGTGGTGCAATAAAAGTGTAGCATCATAATTTCTCACAGAAAACTCAGGATCTTCAGATAAAACTAGTTCCCTTTCGAAAGGGAACTTGCAATGCGTTACCAACTGAGGGATGCTCTGAGTGATGATGTGGGGAACGCCCTCCACGTGAACCGATTTCTGAAAACGGCAATCAAATTTGACCGACGGCAGCCATGACGTCACTACTAGTGTGACCCAGAAGTATAAAAGAGGTGCCTAGCAGTGGCGGCTGCTGGTCTTTCAAAGAGGGGGAGCTCCCTTTTCTTCTTCTTTTTTTTTAAACTCGACTGTCAGGTGTGGGGATGGTGAAAAGAGCGAGGACTCGATGCAGAGTTGATGGACTATTTTATTGATAAAAAAACAAACAAAAAACAAACAAGGGGAATAAATTGGGAGCAAAAAAGGCAGGTAACGAGGGAGGACAGGTGGGGCAAAATAACTAATAATCAGGAAACAAGATGGGAGTCGACACAATGACAGGAAAGCACATATGGCACAAAAAAAAAATGACAAGCACAAGCCATGTGCTCATACCAAACATGACAAAAACACATGACCAATAAAACAAATTAAAAAGCAATTGTGCTCACACAAAATGAGACCTGAAGAACGATGAGAACACTCATAAGACACGTGTTCACACAGAACATGACAACATGAAAGCACACAGCTAGTTTAAAACACAAGCTGTGTGCTACACAGCACAAGACAAAACATGACATGAAAGCACGCGGCCGATGTAAACACAAACCATGTGCCACACAACACACTGAACAGAGCGAACACGACAAGACAGCGTTACGCATGAGTACGACCATAAGGTCATCCTGTGCACTCACAACCGAAAACAAACACGCGGAGAATGCATGTCCGAATCCCAACACAAAAAGTGAAACCAAACTAGACAGATGTGCCATGATTCAAACACCACGCCCGCACATGTAACAAGACACCTGACATCGACGGAAGAAATGTGGGAATTAGGTTGAACTGTGAAATATCTGATGAAAATTGCAAATACTAAGAAATATGTTACAGCAGTTCGTCTTTCGAGTAAAATACACACAAAATTCGCGACGAGACTGAGCACGAAGTCTTTAAACTAGCTTTCGCGTCAGCGATTTTTTTATTGGGTGAAATCGCTGTCAATCAAAAGGAGATGCAATCCTCCAATCATCACGCGGACACCCGGACGCCAGGCCAGCCCACTTCCCTATTCACCCCAGAGACGCCCGGCATCCGTGGGCGGGACATAATCGCAGCATTTATCCAATGACCGTCTAGTTTAACAGCACTGAAAAAAACTGTTCAAAGCAGCCCCATTGAAGTCAATGGACGGAGGAAATGCATGCACTGTGACGCGCTACAGGTATGCATGAGAAGGAGATCAAGTCAGCCGACCTGCTATTTGTTGCTTATTCTGAACGAACTCGTCTTCGAGATTACCGTGTTCTAACGCATTTTTACTCATTAAAATGTTAACACAATTGTACACATTTGATCATTATTTGTTTGACATTATAGGGGAAGCTGAGCTTCCCTTGCAGTCTTAAAGAAATCTCCACTGGTGCCTAGAGAACATCTTATCCTCTTTTCATCTTCAGGGACTGTTTTGTCTGATTTGCAATCACCTGAAAAAGGTAAGAACAAATATGGCAAGTGAAAAGTGTTTCAAAAAGTCTGTGGATCTGTGTCTCAGCTATCTTACACCAGATGGCACACACAACTTGTGCGTTTACTGTTTGGGTGAAAAGCATGCACAATCAGCTCTTGAGAGACCTGATTGTGCAGACTCAGAGAGTTTTCCACTAAGAAAACTCTGCTCTTCTCAATGGAAGAGGGACAGGCATCTGGGCCCAGTGGTTCCGGTCTCACTCGTGCTGATGCACTGCGGAGACTCGGATCATGGAGTTCACAGATGGAGTTCGCTGATGAGTTTTTAAAAGAGGTGTTTCTCTATCATGCCCATCAGAAGCTCGCATAAGTGAGCTGCTGGACAAGGATGTGTCATCTCTTACATCCTCTGATGTAACATCCAGCAGCAAGTGCTCTTCTGGCACCTAGCCCAAGAGAGCAGGAGATGACTGATGAGGGTGAAGAAGAGATACAACCTGAACCCTCACAGCCTAAACTATCCCGAACTATCCCGCTGCTGGAGAGGCATTGGCACTAAAACCCCTGGCCCTGCCTTCCAAGCCACTCAAGATGACATCTCGGTTGAATGGCAGGGCCTACGCGGCAACAGGTTAGGCTGGGGCTGCCTTATACACGATGTCTGTGTTGCAGGCAGCAGACCTGCTGAAGGATTTGGATCAGGGGCAGGGTCTCTCCCCTGCCATTGGACGAGAGAGGCGAAGGCGCGCTTGGCTA